GTGTGAAACCTTTATAAATTGGTAATATATATAACCGAGTGTTCTGCATATAAAATGGTTGTCTCTATATAAACCTCCCAGTACGTAGCTTCATTGTTTTAATTTTGCATGTGCATTTCCTATTAATGTATTTTTAAATGCATTTTATATGATGTAAACATATTCCTATGTCTGTATTTAAAATAGGATTAAATTATATCAATGCATCATTTATTTATTACAATGTGAGTGACCAACCATCTGTTTGTGTGGGTGTGTGTGTTTCAGATGCATCATGTATATAACCAGAAATAAATTCACAAGTAAAAAAGAAAAATATGAATTGATTTTTCAAATTTATCAGCACAAATGAGAATAAAATCACTAAATTTTGTATCTATAATTTAAAAAAAAAATTAACAAAGCAAAAAGCTAGACGACTCATAATCCCATTAGATTCTTTAAAAAGGTTTCACTGTTTTTTTTTGGTTTTTTTTTTTTTGCTTTGGCATCATTAGCATTTGAATTGTTTGATTTCTTTTTTTCTTTTTTTTTTTTTTACCAATTCCATTAAATAGGAATCTCATTACCTTTCCTTCTTGTTTCTTCTGATTAACTTCTGCCATATTTCTTTGAGAAAGTGTCAGATGTCATGGAAGACACAGAGTTAGAATTGCTGTTGGAAATGATCTTGTCAGCCATTTTGACTTTTTTTTTCTTTCTCACCAAGTATGAAAAACATTGTTCGTCTTCAGAAAATGAAAACACTAAATAAATGTAATAATTGCCAGTAAGAGATTCTCAATTGACTTTTTGGTGCGACAAAATTGAATAAAAGGAAGCTAAACTCAAGAAACAGACTTTCTAATGGAACTTGTTCAGGTTGGAAAAAGAATCTCGTAACTTTCAGTTAAAATGACCTTGTCCTGAAGAGAGGAAAATTTTTTTTTCTGCTTTTGTTTTTTGAAAAGAAAAAATAAAATCTTCTCCCAAACGTCTGACAAAAGCCAAAGAACTAGTCTCTTTGATTTTCTTTCTCAGCTGATTGCATCAATAACACTTTGCTCGTGTATTTGATCATTGCATTAATTGCATGGAGAACCTACTTAAAACAGGTGACTTGCTTTCAATGATCAAAGTAAGCAAGATTGAATCAGTATCTCTCTGATAGCTAACCACACCTTTTATTTTCTATGACAAAAATCTCTTCCATATCTTTTTTTTTTGTGTGTGTGTGTGTTTTTGTTTTTCCCTCAGGTGAGTGGATGAAAATCTTCTGTTATTCTCAAGGGGGATAAGAGAATATAAAATTTTTTTTTTTTTTGAATTAGTGAGGAGTAGAGTTATGCATCAACCAATCAACCAATGAGATTAACCGAATCAGTTCAGGTTGGGGGTTGCTTATAGACTATTCAGCTTGCTGCCTGCCTCATCTGAATAAAATATTAGCAGAAGATTAACCTCAATTCCAAACATGTTCCAGCTACTCTTTGTGGACTCTTTTCTTCTCAAGTTCTGCAATCTGAAGCTGGTAAGAATAGTAGACTGCAAAACCCTCTTTCCTTTCTACAGCTTTTTTTTTTGTGTTTTCACTAGCTGGGGCCGGGAAGTAATTACACTTAAATTGCACTAGAAACAAAAGTCTTGTTTTAATTTTTTTTTAATTATTTTTATTGTTTGATTCAAAGATATTTCTATGCAAGCTTGTAGATGTTAACAAGGTTGTGTTTTTTGTGTGTATGTTTTAGGTGAAGGTGTGTGTTCAATATATAAACAAAGAAGACATTTTATTTCCATTTATTTATTATTTTATCTTTATTGTCACACTCTTAATGCTCAATGAGGACTGGTAAATGACAAAGGTTGACTGTCACTGCATTTGCTGGTCTTGAGAGTCAATCTGCAACAGTGTTTTCTTCCTCATGAATGTACAGAATGCCTGTCATGTGTTCAGTTATTAATGATAAATGTCATTGCTGTTGTTTGACAGAAATTTGCACATATTCGCTCAAGTTATGTTTCCTGTTGTTGAATTGTATTAGAGTGACTAATTTCATGTAGAAACATTAATCGGTTTTTTTAACAGGTAAAATGTTTGGTTAATTAGTAGTAGTTGTAATATCTGTATTTTTTTTGTACACATTAAATATTATGATTAAGTTTGATTTTTCTTTTTGTAACCATAGTAAAAAAATTAAGTTTTTAGTTTTTAAAATTTTTAAGATTATTAATTGCATAAGTAACACCTCTTTTTCATGGTAGTTGGTTTGTCAAATAGATATGCTTCTTTTAAATGTCAGGATTACCAATTGTGGAGGTTAACAAGCTTGTGGTTATTGTGTGTATTTCTTCGAGGAAGGGGCATTTTCAATATGTAAGCAAGGAAGATAGAAGATTCTTGCAAAAAAACTTTAGTTTCTCCTATGGATATTTATTTCTTTTTGGTTCATGGAAAGTAAAGATAAAAATAAGTAAAGATGGTTGAGTTCAAGTCAGTCTTGAGTTGGAATGACTGAATCTCTACTTCATGAAGAAGGCCACTGAAAACACATCTGAATGATCTCATTGGAAAGTGGAAGGTACCATCCTTTCCGGAAGTGGGGTCATAAAATTTCAAATGCAACCAGAAACCCTTTCTGATTTCTTTATAATTTGCATCATGGGAAAATGAATTTATTTATTTTTTCTATTCTTTATTATTATTTTATTTATTGACTTTATTTCTTTTTCCCAGAAGCTTATCTTTTGGACTGAATTCTTGAAGTGTAGATATGGTTTGGAAAAGGAAAATCTTCATAAGAGAAAAAAAATTGAAGAAAAAATTATCCTATCATTAAAAAAATTACATCTTTTCTGAAAATCAAGTTTTTTTGTTTTATAAAAACAAATGACAGTCTATTGTGGAAGTTCCATGTTACTTGGAAACTGAAGTCACCAAATATTTAATTTTGAGAACAGTTGAGAGGCCCAAAAATTCATATGCTGAAGAAAGAATTTGAAAAAGATTACTGATTATTCTACCCTTGTTGGTCAGGAATTATTTTCAGTAAAATTATTTTTTATATTGAATCAATGTCTAGGTCTGTTGCTAAGAAGGTTGGATCGCTGTTTTGTACCAAATGATTTTTCTCATCAGAATTCATCTTACACATTCATGAATTGAATATTGTGACCACATGTAGTATGATGCTCCTGCTATATATCGTGAGATTCTTGACAACATCCAAAGAAATGTCTGCAATGTTACTTTACCATCACCATGACTTGACTTCCCTCTGTTTTTTCCTATAAATATTTTCATGGAAGTTGTTCTAATGAGTTCTCCTCTTCGGTACATCGAATGCATGTTACTGAATTTAAGTGTGCTACTAGATTGGCAAGTAGGTCTCATTGTTTTACTACTGAAATAGCTAGATGTAACTGTAAGTTCTATTCTAATAGTTTTTTTTTCTCACACTTCTCAGCTGTGGAGCACTCTTCCGGTTTCTTGCTTCCTTTTCACCTATAATCTTTAAAAATTTAACTGCAATGTCAATCACCATCTTTTATAGTTCTTTCTCCTCGCTAAAGTCTTCTCATTCTCTTCCACTCCTAATAACCCCTTGCATCTTAGTTGCCTGACTTGAGATGAAATGATTAAAAAGAAGTTTACTTTTTAGTTTTTTAGACTCTTAAGATTATTAATTGCATAAGTAACACTTCTTTTTCTTCTTTTTATTTATAATTGGTATCACCCCATGCAAGGCAGTAAAGCCACTAAGACACAAGGGAATTACAGTGTGTGGAAGAATTAAGAACAGAAACATTAATAATTAATGTTAATTAATAAATTTTTGTAGATTAAAGTTGGCTGGAAAGCATGGAGTCAGAAGGAAGTTCCACAAAGAAGAAATGCAAGAAAAGAAACTGTTAAAATAGAGTTTACAGTTACATCGAGCCAGCTCAACTGTAAATTGATGAAATCTCAATGCCAGTCCAATACTAAACTTAAATTCAAATTAATTTAATTTAATTCAATACCTGTGAAAATTTCACAGTTTTCTTCTTTGAATTTTCTCTTGAAACCTGATTCTTACGTTAATGACTGAATTCACATGTTGCGCATTTCATGGCTATAATATACCCATGAAAATTCTCTTATTGCTTTGTTCAATATTTGATTTTGACAAGTTTAACAAAATATTGCAATAACAATCATGAATCATTGGGGGTGGTACTGGTGCCATATATGGGCAGGAGCTGCTCAGTCTTCACTTTTCTACTCAAAGTATGTCCAAACATATCTGTGCATCCTTGTAGGTGACAACTTATTTTCCACTCAACAACCCCTTTCTCACAGTCAAGACATTGCAAGCTATTGCTATTCCATGGTGAGTTTTCAGATGAATGACATTCCTTAGTTCCATCAGTTCTAACCTTCACGGCCATGACCCACCATGCCACAGATATTGTAACAAATCATCTTTCATATTCCTCTGGTGAGGTCTAAGTTCCACCCAAGCAGCTTCTTTGCACAAACTACTGTCTTGTGGAACTGACTCTGTAGAGGGCTCTTCCTCATTCACTACCATCTCAACCTGTTCGAGTCTAGGGTTAACTGTTATCTTACATGCATAAGCTGTATCTCTTACTCTGTAACCTTCTACATCAAGCTGTCCCAGGGCATTGTACAGGATAAACACCAATGTCAAATATAAATGCAGTTCATTCTTTAAATCAGTAAGAGGGTACAAATTAAAGAGATTAAAATTTAACAATGCTCTCTGAAGCATTTGTTAAATTCGTGAGAGCATTGTCATCTCCACCATCTTCCTTTTTTCTTTACTTCTTCTCAATAAAAATGAACAGCATCTCTGATATGTTTTTGTTAATCTTAACTTGAAATCTAAACAGAATTGTCCGTTATTTATCTGAGGTAATAGCAGGAAGTAAGGAAGAAACAGAATTAGACTATAATAATGAAGGATGAAGATAATTTAAAAAATCTAATCCATGAATTATTTCTTAAAAAAGGCTTATTCCATATCATATTGAAACACTGGTTCTCATACGGTCACTGAAGTTAAGCAATATTGAGCCTGGTCAGTACCTAGATGGGTGACTTCTTTGGAATACCAGGTGCTGTAAGCTTGGATGTGTGGGTGGTAATGGATAACAGTTTGGAATTAGAACTCAGAGAGCTGAGTTCCAATTTTGGTCGGTTTTTATTATATTTACTTATGCACAAATAGCCTTGTGAAAGGTATGAATCCACCTCTTCTTCTTCCACCTATGGGTCCATTTTTCGGATTTGTATCAGTAAAATCATTATTATTGTTGAAACCTAGGGAAGGTTACCGAATAGAATAATCACACGAAAAGTTGGTAATGAACGATAATAGTTAGGACATGAACAACACATATAAGATTCACCAGTGGTGTGTAGAAGAAGTAGTCAACTTCTAGAAGTGAGTCAAGTGAATTCCACAATAAATCTCCAACTGCAGACCAACATACAGTATTTATTACTATATTTATGTGAATGGGGACATACCCATTACCGTCCATAGGTATGCTACAACAATTATTTTCAAATAACTTTAAATAACTTGCAAAGGGTTGATACACTGAAAAAAGAATCTGTTAAATATTATTTCTAAGGATAATGGGAATTACAATAAAAATGTTTGTTCAAAAATCAATTCTCTTTGTCAATTATTAAGTATAAACATTTTTTCAAAGTTTTCTTTCATCATTCATATTTTAATGTTCTCTTTTTCTTGTGCATGTAAAATTTTTGACTGACACAAATGGCTGACATGTAAATATTAATTTTTCATTCACAACCTAACACAATTCTGACAGGTGATAAAAGTTTATTTTTGGGATCTGTCCTTGAAACAATGTTGATTTCATTTCCTTTTTTTTAAATCTATTTCTCTTTCACAGTTGGGGTCAATATATGTTTGATTCCCATGAAATAGGAAGCATGTTGACAGTTCTTTCTTTCATGTATTGCTGGTGGGATACATAAAAAAAACAAAAAACATGAGTACATTAATCCTGTGTATGTAAGACACAGGTTTTTTTTATCCAAAATTATGCCCAAAAGTTTCTTGTGTTTTATTCTTTAGTTTAAAACTCAATCCCATTTTTCCAAAACTCGAAAACAGGCATATTGGATTTATTTATTTACTGAAGAGATAATATCTATGTAATGGCATATTGCAACAAAGGAAAATAAATCTTTCATAATTTTTCTCTAAGTCTCTTATGGTAATTTACCCACGCATGCATGGACTCTCCCAGGTATAAATAGGAGCAGGTACCGCCTTTTGGAGATAGAAGTTTCCAGCAGTCAGACTGAATGTTCTTGCTGTAACACTCTCGTTTGTATATGTTTGTATTACTGTTTCTGTTAATATATTTGTTTAACTCAATTCCTCTCTTTGTGTCTTTATTTCTGGCCTTAATAAGGCCACAACAAAATCCCATATAGTACCATACATTTTTCAGATTTTGATGAGTCTAGATACCTATGTAAGTCTGGAAATCATTCAAAGATGAAAATATTTAATCTATGATAAAAAAAAGTACAAAATTATCCATAATTTCAAAATAAGAGAACCTTGAGGAATTGATTTCACAGGTTTCTGATGTCTGGCTGTTAACAACAACCTTCAGGAACTTACCTGTTAGGGAGGGTATGATAACTGAGAAAGTCCTTCCAGTAGAGTTTTTTATAGCAACTCCTGATGCCATATCTTGCCAGACATAAAAGGTGTTCCAATAAGTTGGACTGATTTTAAACTTAATTCACATTTAAAATCAGTCCGACTTATTGGAACACCCTTCCTTGTGATGAATTTATTGTCTTCTGCCTTACTGATTCTATCAGTAAGGCAGAAGACATTAGCAGTGTACCTAACAGAGTGAAATCTATGCAGGTTTTCTCACTAGACGTTTGTTCCTGTTCAGGTGTTCAATATTCTTCTTGTTGGTTAAAGATTCAAAAAATTTGCAGATCACACTAGGAGTCTAATGTATTGATATTACAAGAGGGATGAGCGCTCACATTCTTAAAAACAGAGAACACATTTGACACCTTCCCTAGTTGGGAACTATCTCTTCTTTGGACAACAATTAAACAGTTTTGCCAGTATTGGAGATAACTCTGAACTGGTGGCCTTCTTAGAGTCAAGGCTTTTGATAAGTCTGGAAACTTCCCATGCCATGATGAAAATATTACAAAGTTTGTTCTCTGTGAAAAGGGGGAAAACTTAGAGGCAAAGTTTATTGCAAAGAGCGTTGCCATATCATATGAAGATATAATAACTTCTGGGCCATTTTTTAATAGCTGGCACCAACACTTTGGCTCTTTGTTGAGAATTTTATTCAAGATTTTCCAAACTTGCAGGAACCAAGTATTTTATTTTCAACCTTAGTTTGGATTGACTGTGCAAAGCTGCTGTTTGCATTTTCTAGAACTTTTCTTGCAATGATTGCAGGCATTATAGAATGCAATAAGAGTGCCACTGCACTCTTCTCTTTGGTAGAGATGGTAGCATTGGTTATGGTAGGTTATAGCTGCAGTATATCCTATCATGAAACAAGCCTGGCTCTTTGGTTTCTGTTGGTATTTTGTTCTATGGGATGAAATTATCTATGATTTCATTTGCAACAACTATTCAAGTGATAAAAGGAAGTTTTCAAAGATGATTTCAATGAGTGAAGCCCTTTTCTCGTACTATTCCATTATTGTTAACTGTTTTCCAGTGAGTAAGAGTCTATACTACCAAGTCCAGAGATTGAACTCACAATTCAGTCAGTCAGTTATGTGACATATGTGACACATGCATAGGCGATCATATATCTTTCGATACATGACTGACGAGACAGATTTCTTCTCGCATTAGGTTGCTATTTCTTTCTGTAGTAGACCAGTTACTATTCAAGGCTATAGAACCTGGTATGTCCTGCTATTTACCCATAACTGGAAGTGGGGATAAGAAGAGGAGTCATACCTTTCCCAAAGAAATTAGTATGTAAGTGAATGTAATGGATTTGACTAGAATTAAAGCTCGACTCTCCATTTCCTCAATCCAAGCCACTATCCATTACTCCACCATATGTTAAAACTTGTAGCTTTAAACCTAATGTTCTTATGGCCTGCTCTGATGCAGCCTTACTGTAGAGCATGACCTCCATTGCCTCTGCTTATTTTCTTACTTCAACCTTGTCTGGCTATCCATTGAAAATGATTCCCATTGTGAAAGCCCTTCTACAATTAAAGAAAACTTGCAATTGACAATAGATTGTTCAGAAAATATCCAACACTTTTGAATATTTCAATTAATATTTGACCCCTTCCTTGGTTTCGGCTGACTATGCATAGCTGCTTTTTTTCTAGAACTTTCTTGCAATGATTGCAGACAGTTAAGGAGAGTTCCACTACACCATTCCAGAATGTTGCAAAAGTTTCACTACACCATTCTCTGTGCAATGCATTTTCATATTAAAAACTATTTGCTTTATATTTTTATAGTAAAATCATTTGCAGGTTAACAAGATTACTTTTGACCATTATTACTGAGTAATAAATTTGATCCTCACTGGGTGCCTCATACAAAATTCAACATTAAATAACCCCAACAAGTGTTGACATGTCATAAAATTATCCAGCCGAACCTAACCAAATTATCTGTCTTTGAAAAAGAAAAAGGAATTGAAATCCTGAATTAAAAGAGAATAAAAGAAATGACATAAATACGTGTAGGAGAGTTGGATCCTTGTAAAAATGAAGGCAGGTCGATGAGATGACGTCTTCTGAAGAAAACCAGCAAAAACATCCTTAAAAAAAAACTACTTGATACCTAAATTTGATCTCTAATGAAGTGCAACCTTTCAAATACCAAACAGTAGCGAGGTTAGAAGAGCTGACTGGTTAAAGCAAAATTCAAAAGTCGAGGATAACATTCCTAAAAAAAGAAATTGGGAAAAGCTTGTATTGCTGAGATGAGGCATTATTTTGCAAAAACGGAATTTGTTGATGACTAAAATGTGCACTGATTACAATCTTGTAAAATTGAAAAGAAAAATTAAAAAATAAGATTAAGTATGCACACACACACACACATAAATATATTCCTGTAAAAAATGATGTTTCATTTCAAAAATACTTAAAGATGTGGATGACTGAAATGTACAGAAATTTATCTATTTTTACCAAACAAACAACAAAACTGAAACAGAGTGTAAAAAGTTTTCAGAAAATAAATCTATAATGTTACTTTTTTTGCAAATGGGTCAGGAGGAAAATGTTTATGGTTAAACAATTAATACTCTTGCTAAAGATTCGTCGACATGAATAATTGAGAATTTTCTGAAATGTTCAATTTCAATAAAAATAAATCAGTTTAATTTTTTAATTATTATGAATTTGTTATTTTTTTAATTGCAAAATAAAATGGAGAAAATCTTAAGAAAAGCAAAAGAATTATTAAAGAATATTTTGGTTTTGAATGTGATATGAAACAAACATGACTTCTTATACTATTTATGTTGTTCAGACTGTTGTCCTCATCTTGATTGTTATATACATGACATTTTGGCTATTGTATAGACTGGTCCACTTTAGGTGATATATGTTGAAATTTAGAACCCAACTCTTTATTTAGTCCACAGGGGTAGATTGTTCCAGTTCAACGTGCCATGCTTTTTCTATATACTTTAGTCTTCAGTTATCTCCCTTTAGTAACTCAACTCTCCAAGTTTTTGTTCCCTCTGCTGTAGCCAGATGTTGTCCTTAAAGACAGTGGATAAAAGTGTTGGTTGAAGTAATCCAGTGAACTTAACCCAAAGAGTTGTGAGTTCAATCCCTGCCATTGAAAATTTGATGACTGAAAAGCCCCTCATCATTCTTTCACTTACTTCCTCTCCAGTTATCTGCGCTATCTTGTCTTTGCTCTATCATAAAAGGAAGCTTATTTCTTTAGGATTTTTTATTTAATTTATATACATTTAAACTAACTTCCTCATCATTATTGTTATTGACACTATGTTCCAAATCCCTTTGTAATGAAGTAAAAATACTAGACTAAAGTAGAAAACTACAAAATTAGCACATATGCTAGACAATGAGAAATCCCT